AGGAAGCGTTTAGAGGCTGTTATTTCTGCAAAAGGAGGATCTACTAAATATTGATGTAATTTTTCTGTTGGGGTGCCCAAATTTATGCACCTGCCTACTTTTGTTTAAGTAATTATTGCACACTTTCTGCAAATCTTATAAACTTAATTTCACTTCTTAAATATCACTGTTTGTTTGCTATATGATATATTTAATTGAAATTGCTGTTCCGAACAACCACTGATCCAAAAAGGAAAATCTTGAAAATGATCAGGGGTGCCCAAACTTTTCATACCACTGTATACCTTGGTCCACTTCAGCCTGGGAGTCCAGTGAGACCAGATCACATATTGCACTGTGTTTGCCTCATTGCCCAGCTGTGACACTACATCTGCTTCAGGAGCTCCTGCAGCCTGCTGCTGCTGCAGCTGCTGCTATTTTCTTACGAGACTTGGGAGGACTTTTCAGGAAGAATTTATTTTGTGGTGACAAGGCGAGTTGGGACAAGAGGCTAAACTTTTTGGAATGGTTAATTTGGCATGATTTAGCTATGGGAAGAAAGAGAAAGAACTTATGAAAACATGAACTAATGATGGAGCAAAGATGAGAGCATATAGAGAGCAGTGAGAGTCCAGTGTCTTTCGACGCTCTGGTGATTGGGAAAAGATCAACTTCCGTTAGTTTCTGTGCGTCTGCTGTGTTGTTTCCTGTTCGTGTTAAGATAGCTGGTTTCACAACAGTGATGTAAAATACAAAGAAATGTTCTGGTGACATCAGTGGAAGGGAAACAAAAAACAAACAGGAAACAGAAGAACAGTTGTTTCTGGAAGAACATTGTAGTAAAACATAGTGCAGGAATGGCTGAGGGAGGCAGGCGTATACATGCAGTACAACATTAGAATAAATGCAGCAGCTTTTCTTTGCATTTACATTTGGACAGTGGATATACACTACCGTTCAAAAGTTTGGGGTCACTTAGAAATTTCCTTATTTTTGAAAGAAAAGCACTGTTTTTTTTCAATGAAGATAACTTTAAACTAATCAGAAATACACTTTATACATTGCTAATGTGGTAAATGACTATTCTAGCTGCAAATGTCTGTTTTTTGGTGCAATATCTACATTGGTGTATAGCGGCCCGTTTCCAGCAACTATCACTCCAGTGTTCTAATGGTACAATGTGTTTGCTCATTGCATGAGAAGGCTAATGGATGATTAGAAAACCCTTGTGCAATCATGTTAGCACAGCTGAAAACAGTTTAGCTGGTTAGAGAAACTATAAAACTGACCTTCCTTTGAGCAGGTTGAGTATCTGGAGCATCACATTTGTGGGGTCGATTAAATGCTCAAAATGGCCAGAAAAAGAGAACTTTCATGTGAAACTCGACAGTCTATTCTTGTTCTTAGAAATGAAGGCTATTCCATG